AAAAGGGTTTTTAAAAAGGTTTTCTTTGTTGAAGGGGGAGGGACATTTCTCTCCCCTTTTGGGCGCTTGAAAAAAAGGAAATTACTACACGGGGCCCCCCCCCCCCCCGCCCCGGGGGCCCCCCCCCCCCCCCTTCCCCCCCGACTCGAGCCCCCACCGCGCCAGCGCCCCCCTCCCCTCCAGGCGCCCAAGAGCGGCGAGCCGGCGTCGCGGCGGGCGCGCGAGTATGCCGCGGGCGCGTTGACGAACCTCTGCCTCAAGCAAACGCCTAAGGAACGAATGAGTTAGTCATCAATCCTCGCTTCATTAGGCGCGCTGATGAACCTCTGCCTCAAGCAGAAGCCGCTGCAGGACCGGGTTGCCGCCGCCGGCGCGGTGCCCCTCCTCGTCGGCATGTTGTCCGAGCAGGCGACAGCGAGCAGCCGCCAGGCGGACGCGTGGCTGACATGCTCACGCACACGTCGATGACACGCCCGGACATGGCCCCCACAGGCCGAGGGGGCGCAGTACGAGGAGGCGGCCGGAGCGCTGACCAACCTCGCAGACACGCACGAGGAGAACCAGGCGGCCGTCGGCAAGGCGGGCGCCGTGCCTCCGCTGGCGGCGCTGCTGCGCAACCCGTCCGCGTCGGCGCAGGAGGAGGCGGCGGGCACCCTGATGAACCTGGCGGCGTGCGACGCAAACAAGGACGCCATCGTCTCGGCGGGCGCCCTGCCGCCCCTCGTCGCCCTGCTCGGCTCGGGCTCCGCCGCGGCTCGCGAGCACGCGGCCCCATCCACGTAATCAAGTGGCTATTAATGACGAATCAAGTCAGTCATTAGGCTCGCGAGCACGCGGCCCCTCCACCTAATCAAGTGGGTATTAATTAATGACGAATTGAGTCATTAATTAGGCTCGCGAGCACGCGGCCGGCGCCCTCGCCAACCTCGCCAATGGCCGGCCAGAGCACGCGGAGGCGGTCGGCGCCGCCAAGGCGCTGCCGCCGCTGCTCGCCCTCCTCCAGCAAGCGCCCGAGGGCAAGGACGCCGCCGCGTTGAGAGGGTGCGGTGGGGCCGGCGTGGCGGCGCGCGCCGCGTCGGCGCTCGCGCTCGCGTCGCTGCATGCGCCCAACGCCGCGGAAGTGCGTTCGGAGGGGGGGGTGGCGGTGCTGGCAACGGCGCTGGGCGCGGGTGTGAGCGAGGCGGCCGCCGCTCTCGTCAACGTCTCCAAGGGCGACGCGGCCGCGCGCGACGCGCTGCTCGCCGCGGGAGGAGCGGCCCTGCTCGTGCGCGAGGTCTCGGCCGGCGCACCCGCGGCTCAGGCCGAGGCGGCGGGAGCGATCGCCACCCTCGCCGCCGACTCGGCGCGGCTCGCCGAGGCTGTCGTCGCGGCGGGCGCGGTGCTCCCCCTCACGCTGCTCCTGACGTGGGGGGCCGGCGCCGCGAAGAAGCAAGCGGCCTCCGCCCTCGGCGCGCTGGCTGCAGCGAGCAAGGCCAACCGGGACGCTGTCGTCGAGGCCGAGGCTGTCCCGCCGCTCCTGTCGCTCCTGCAGGTGCGCGCGCGCCACCACATCTCCTACCCCGCGCCTCCCTCCCTCGCGCCCTCCCCCACGCACGCTCATCACCCCCGCCGGAGCCCTCCCCCTCTGGCGGCGGGTAAACCGCGATGCCACAAGCACGCAGAGCGGCAGCACTAAGGCTCGGCGCCGCCTCCCCCATGCGGCGCTGAGTCGGCACGCGAGCCGCACAACTCCTCTCGCCCCTGCCTCCTCGCCCCCTCAGCCCAGCGACGACTTGCCGCTGGTGCTCGACGCGCCGACCAGGCGGCTCGAGCTTCAACATGTACATTAGTTGCACCGGCGCCTGGTCGTCGCCTCCGCCCTCAGCTCCACCTCCGGGATT